AACCTTATAACTTTTCAAATATGAATTAGTGTAAGTTCTAACTTAAAATATCATTTCAAGTTTGGTTTTTTATCCATTTGCTATTATGAACCCATTAGACACTTGTTTTCTAGATGTTGCTTTCAAAATAGTGTCATATCCACAATACTTTCAAGAGTGATCAACACTTATGAGAACATTGTTCAACAAGCTACTAGAGACAATAAACACCAATTATAGAAGCTTAAAGCATCATACATCATTTTATTTCCAATGCTTTGCATTAAAAATCTTGTAAAATCATTGAGTTCATTGTTGCAAGCAACAATACAAAAAAATGAGTGGAATATGTTTCTAGATACATATTTCTTATAAAATCTTATTGGCTCATTCTTTGTTACTACATATTGAATGAAGCTATTCCAATTTTGTATGGTTGTCTCTACAAATACTGCTTTATATTATCAAGGGTTGTTGTTGCAAAACAACAGTAAATTAGAAACTAAAGCTTCTTTTAAGCTGTATACATAGTATGTGCTAATAAGACTTCTTAATAGCATAGGGAAGTCGGATATACCCTTACGGGGGATAAGTTGCTTGTGTTGCGATATAGTAAGTCAATGTCATAAAAGGAAATACTCATTGTCAAGGAAGCCGTCATTGGGACACCTGAACACTCTAGAACACCAGAAGGTGGTGTTTGATATCGCAAGGGCAATGGATAAAGCCCAAGGGACTAAGTCCCTAGCGAATGATGGATAGAAGGTGCTATCCAAATGTCCAAGGTTGCGGAGACAGGAGAGGATTGTCTACCCGAGTTGGACAAAGCCAAAAATGGAATTTTGGCAAGGCTAGTGATGGGCATGTAAAGGCCCATAAGCAACAATGTAATCCCAGTGTGTGGGATTATAAGGTGAGCATACCCGGATTGAGGAACCACTCCCTGGGCTATTGGGTAGGTTCATCCCTATAAATACTTGCTAAGGCATGATAGAAAGTGCAAAGCTATCCTCCTGGTCTGAAGGAGAATGACCGAAGGAAAGGTGTGAAGCCAAAAGCAAGAAGTAAGGGGATAGAACCGAACCATAGAAATCGAAGGGCATAACCAAGGTTGGTTATGCCAGCTGGGAGTGGAGAATCAAGTGGGGGCTCGAGGGTGTTGCCGCTAGCAACCGTGATGCCATGGAGAGTCTAAAATATGGAATTGTCCATGTTAGACTATATGGTAATTGGAAAGCTTGCAAAAAAGGGGGGCCTTAGCAAGCTAAGGGACAGAGTTCCTTCAAAGTTCCCAAAGAGGATTCTAGGTAGCTTAGTACCTAGAAAGGCCAAGCGTAAATGGTTCAAGGAACGCGCGAAATCAGAGTGGCGCAGCAGAAGCGTGGTCTTGAAGCTTGCCATGAGGCAAGGCTATCAAGGTTAGGGAAGTAGTTCCCGAGTGTTCAAAGAGAGGGTTTTGAACGAAAGTCGATGGTCAAGGACTTTCACGCTTGTGCAAGAACCATGTTACAGTGGTCAGAGGACTTGCCAAGCGAGATTGGCAAGTCAGGGGAACAGATACCCTAATTGAAGGTGATAACTTCAAAAAACTAATGATGATAAAATTAAATAGTAAAGATTTAAGAATTATAAATATGAAGTACTTGACATGTGAAAGAATATAAGGTAGAATGTAAGCTCTTGAATTTAAACTTCCCAGGAGGTCACCCAGCCTAATACTATGTAAAGATATATCCAATATATCAACAAGTGAAAGACACATGACTAAGGCTAATAGGGGTTTATTGCAAAGCCTCTCAATCCCTGATAATTCATAGAAATTGTAAGTAATTAAATTTTCCATTCTACTTTAGTCACTTAACCACACTTTCGACCACTTGGAGGAGTCTCACTCACAACCTCCATAAGTCCTACTTTGGTAGTATCAAGGATGAGTTGATTGGTTATGGTAGTGAGAACCTTTTAATAAGTTACCTAATACATATTGACGATCTTGAAATAAATCCTTCTCAAATTTTGGAACACATTTATGCTAGAAATCACCACTTAAAGCTCAAGTATGGTCCATTTGATGCAAAAGCTATTATGTTCTCTACTCTCAAATTCATGTTTAGTAACAAACCTTGAAGTATTTCAAATTTTAACTATAATATCCCATTTTACACTAATAAAAGCTTCATAAAATCATAGTATAGTTTCTTCTCTCAAACCAAATAAACCATATAAACAATAAAGTATTTTTCATAACTATGTGTAAGTTATAAATTTTTCCTTTCTAATTTGTTAGCTTACCTCATCTATCTAACCACCTTTGCCTTGCCCTTAGTTAAGTTCCCTTGCCAAAGTTCCTACCTATTATACAAACTTCTACTTAATTTTACTTGGATTCAACTACTCATTATATGAATAATAGGATGTTAACCATCTATCCACAAATTCCTAAATCTTCTCTCAATCCCCCTCCCTAAATTAGACTAGATTTTAAAGTTCGATTACACTCCCCGCATGGATAAGAAACCATGTATATCAAGCCTCCAGGTTCTTAGTACAACAAAACTTATTTATAAAACCTTCTAAATTCTAAGCTTTATGTGCATATTTTACTTCAAAACCCCGAGGGGAAATATTATATCCTAACAGTCCGGTATAAATACCCTTATTCCCCCACTTCGACCCAAAGGGAAGGCCCAAGCCCCTAGGAATAAACGAAGACCAATGAGCTACATAGTACTCAAATAAGACACCACTCTGTATAAGTCAAAAACACTATAGTTAATTTCCTTTCCTTGAGTGGGAGTTGTTTTCGAGCACTTCCTTGGGTAGCCCCTCTTGCAACCCCTAAGTTTGTGCTCATTTCCATCTAAAGCCACTAAACCCCCAATATCAACCTCAACTCAGTTTGGAAGCATTGCTAAAAAGTTCCTTTAATACTAAGTCCTAGACCTCACTATCCCTACTATACTTTTGGAAGCCCTATAAACCCCCTGCCCCCCATGCTTAATATTTAACTTCAAATTAATTATATAAGATGTGGAGGGGTAAACTTTTGAATTTAGTCATAAAAATTGCTGCCATATATTTGTGGAGGGTGTTCCATTATCAATGTTCACTTCTTGTGCTATTGGGTTGTATAGATGGTGGTCAGTTTGACATAAAGTTGAATGGTGAATTTTTTTAGGATTTCCTTATCATGGTGCTTAATCAAGGGGTTTGTGTGGACAACCTTGGTCAATGTATTGGTGAGTAGAATGTCTAATGTATTACATGCTCCAGTAACTCACATCAGTGGAGGGTCATGTAGGGAAGTCATCATAAATGGCTTAATAGAAGCTGTGATAGAATACAATTTAGCATATTGATAATCAAGTGGTTAGGATAAATTTCACTTCCTCTAGAGTGTAGTAGATGGCCATAGTTCCATAAAAGAGTCACCCACTAGGTGGAGAGCTTGAGTTGACCACTTGGGAATAAGACTATAATTAAATGTGGTTTTAGTGAATTATTATATGTAAATTTCCCCACAATTAGCTTATATGACAAATGACAAGGGTGGTACCTAGAAAAATCAAAGCATGAAGCTTGGAACTTTCTAGATAGCTTTAAGCTCAGCACTGATATTCACTCGAGTTCATCTGGATTTGTTGTTTTATGCATATCTATAACCAGCCTAAAAGGTTATTCAACTGGGAATAACTATTTTACAGTTTAAATTTAAACCAAAACATTGACGTTGCAAAGATCTGGAAAGCTAGTTATGGATCAAAGTCAAGGCAAAGACGAGCACTATAGCGAGCTTCCAAGTTAGCAAGCTTCATCTGGAAATCTCGCTCCAGCTCAAACCTACGCTGCACGAGCTGGGGATCCAATCCTTCTCTTGGCATTACGATCAGGGCAGTGGACAACGAGCTTCAGCCATGGGCACTTCATCACCCCTTCAATCACATTTATGATAGCGCTGCCATTGCCAAGGATCTTCATCTCGAGCTCACCAAGTTTGTTGAGGTGATGCCAGTTGGAGTAAACATCATTATGGAATAGAAAAGCAGCTCTCCAGTTCTATGGTGTAGCAAAGAAAACGAGATTCGTACCTTGGTGTTCTTGAAAACAAGACACCGGAGTCTTGTAAATCTCTCCACAAGAGAAAAGGAGAGCCACTCTCCCTCGATGATCAAAGCCTTTGCTCGATCAAACCCAGATATGCCACAAAACTCAGTAGTAAAATGCGCAAGCTCCAGCTCCTTCGGATCTAGAGTTGCAACTTCCAGTCCGTGGACGTGCAAACGCTTGAGACTGGGCGTCTCCAAATGGACGCGTGGGAGAGGGCAGGTGATTACGTTGAAAAGCAGCACCAGATTCCTAATCGTGGTACTCTCACAGGGAGGATCCATTGGCAGGTAGAAGCTCGAGCGGATCTCCATCACTTTGAGCTTCACAAGCCTTGGTGCAAGTGATTCTACCACTCCCCACTTGACGGTGATGCGTATCAACTGCCCCACCTTGCGGCAAACACCCATACTTGTCCAGACCACCCACGGCAAACCCCGAGATGATTCCAGCTCCAAGGTCTCCAGGGATGGCGAAGCGAAACGCAAGAACGGCTTCCAGGAAAACGACCCCCCACCGACATTGCTATCCAACACAGTGCGTAGTTTTGACAAGGTTTTCGCCTTGGATAGCTGCTGCAATAGTGCCTCTTGAGTCTTGACCAAGGCATGATTGTCCGGGATGTTGAAGCGAAAGACCATGGACGCTACCTGGAACTGGAGCCGTCTCACAGCTCCGCTTGACATTGCGAGGATCGCTACCTCGTGTCGCTCCATGCGCTGGAGAATGTCGATCACCACTTCGTCAAGAGCAAAAGGATCCGGCACCGCCATAGCCCAGATCAATCGTGGATTCCTATTTCCAACACTTCGATCTTTCGAAATCTAGTTCCAGCCAACTCAAATAGCCATTAAATTCTCAATTAATACTCATTTATTCGTGAAATTTAGGGTTCTTATTTCTAGGGTTTAAACAGGGGCAATGGAGGGGACGGAGGATCTGTACGCGCTGCTGGGATTGCCTGGAGGTGTCGATGGCGCTGCGATCCAGGTAACCGAGTTGAAGAAGGCGTGGAGGAGGCGCTGCCTGGAATGGCATCCAGACAAGCGCCCCGGCGATGCTACTGCAGGTAACTTGTAGAATCTGAGTGATCTTCTTCTCAAATTTCTCCTTCGTTTCTTCCAGCCGCTCAGTTCAATCGCATCAACAATGCGTTCGAGGTGCTGTCCGATGCCAAGGCGCGCAAGGCGTACGACGAGCTCCAGCTCCTCCGGAGGAGGAGGGAGGAGGAAAAGAAAGAGATGAGCGCCAAGCGCCAGAAGATGGTGGATGATCTACAAAAGAGAGAGGCGGCTTTCGAGCTCCAGCGCAGGGAGAAGGCGGCGGAGGTGAGCGCCGCGCAGAGGCTCAAGGAGGAGATTGCCAGGATACGAGTGAAGAAATCGCAGAAGACGATGGGTAGGAATGGGATCGAGCCTGGCAAGCCTGTGGATATCATCGTGAGCGAAGAGGACAAAGACAAGGCGCTCAAAGTTACGTGGGACTTGGCAGGCACTCCGGGATACGATGTTGAAAGCTTGCGCGGTATATTTCAGCGATTTGGCCCGGTTGAGGACGTGCTGAGACTCGAGAAGAAGAAGAAAGGCGTCGCGCTGGTGGTGATGGTAACTGCGCAGTCCGCGGTACGTATGTTCTCTCTTTGGCCTGGTGTTCTTTAAGGTCTTCTTTCTCAGTTGGTATGAAAATGGTCGTGCGAAGTTTCAGTTTTCTCTGTCTTCCTTTATGTAAAGCGTGGGTCTCTCGCTGGTTTCTGTGGCTTTGTTCTTGCGTGACGTTATCCTTTGTGCGATTGCCTTGCGTGTGCTTTCAGTCGCTAAGCTTGCGTCATTTCTGTGACACAGCTCGAAGCCTCTCAGTCGCAATGTGGACATATCGCCAATCCCTTGCTCGTGATTCCTCTCGGGAATCCGTTCAGGCAAGAAGGTGCAGAGAACCCTCGAGACACGAAAACTCCCGCGGCGGCCAGGGCCCCCTCCCCGTCCCCGGCGGCAAATCACGCTACACTCGCGGGCTCCGGTTTTGGTGACCGGGAAGATTTAGTCCTCCGCAAGCTCAAAGAGGTGGGTGACTTTGGCCTGTTCACAGGAAGTTCGTTTACTTATCCGGCAAGCTAAAAACTCTCTTTGTTTTTGCTTTTGCTTGCAGGCCCAGGAGAGGAAGAGAAAGATGGACGCGGCCGCAAAGGAGGGATGAAGACAAGAGTGCGCGAAGCACGCCTGGGCGATGCGTAAAAAGGCGGGGCTTGGAAGCTAGTAGAGGTGTCGAGCGCTTGTTCACGAGTCATGACAGTGGTAGGTCCTCGAATTTAAGCTCGCCGCTCTTGTTGTATGTCACGTTTACTTCGCTTCGTTTAGGTGTCGAACGAATCTGGAGCACAAAGACAAGCGCTAAGATCCATGGATCGATCGACACAAATCGCTGCGAGGAAATCTCCCGCCGGTTCGCGAGTCGAAGATCGAAGCGAGTGAGTTTTTTGTCCTAGTTTTCTTGTCTTGGATCAGGAGAGTAGCTAGCGCTAGCCTTTGACTCGACCGTTAATCTGTAGCTATCGTGGCGCCATCGCGGCCGACCAGCCCGGCTTCATCGCCAGTGACATCACAAGAACGAAGATATTGTGTGGATATGCATGGGTCCCACTGTGCTCCCGATCTAAACAACCACGCCCCGGCGCGACAATCTCCACCGTCGGTCGCTTACCATTTGGAAGATCATGATAAAAAATAGAGAAGAAAAGAATCCATTGGGCCATTGTTTAGTCGCCCAAAATCTTCCAACGTATCGCGGCAACTTTAGAAAAAGAAAAGCGCATATTCTTGGTCCCGGGCGGCATCTCTTTTCTACGCGCAAATCGGCGACCGTCGAATCGCGATCCGATCGCGCGGGCCCGCCACGTGCCGTCGCCACCTGCTTTCACTCAGCGCGGTGAAAATCGTAAAAAACCACCCGGCAAAATCTTCCATGCGATCCCGCCCGACAGGGACAGGACGGCCGGAAGGGGCTCGAATATCCCGCCGGCGGAATATTCGTACGCCACCAAGGGCCTGGATTATTCCCCCCGGCGGATCGTGGCCGTAGGATTTCTACCCGTACAGCTACGTACCTCGGGGCTTTACTAAATGAAGGTAAAGTGGTGGTTTGACTGGGCCATAAAAAAGAGGGGAAATGAGAAAATAGAGGGCCGCGAGTCGCGAGGTTTTAGCATAGCTTTGTTTCACCCGCAGGATCTGATGATCTGATCTCCTCGTCCGGAATTTGTTTGATCCGTGTCACCATTGATCATTTCTTCTTCTTCTTCTTCTTCTCTCTCTCTCCCCTGCGAGGAAAGAGAGGTTTTTTAGCTAGGTAGCGAGTTCTTCTCGGAACGAAGGAATAGCGAGCTTAGCGACTTACAGGCGCGGTGGTTTCCTCACTTTCGCTTTCTCGAGGAAGAGGAAGAGCGAGCGAGCGAGCGCGAGAGCGTTTTGGTCTCCTTCTTCTTCTTCGTGGTGGTGGTGTTCATAACTTCGTGAATCGTATCGATCGATCGAGCGAAGCGAGCAAATGGGGAGGCGGGTGAAGCGGTCCAATGGAGCTGCCAGCAGCACCGCGCAAGATCTGGGTAGCGAGAGCAGCAGCGGCATCGTCAGTAGCAAGGAAGGGGGAGGCCAAGTTTTGAGCCTACCTTCGACTTCCTCTTCCTCTTCTTCGCAGATTCATGTCCTGGCCGTGGACGATAGCCTTGTGGATCGGACCGTCATCGAGAGGCTGCTCAAGACGTCCTCTTCGTCGTTCAAAGGTAAGACAGATAGTCTTCGAATCTGGGCGATGAATTTCTCGATTGAAATCGCTTGCTTGTTTGCTCTTCTTGCAGTCACGGCCGTGGACAGCGCATTGCGAGCGCTGGAAATTCTGGGCATTGTCGACGGACAGGCTTCTCCAGCAGCAGCTCCTTCCGAGGTAAGAGAGAAAAAAAAATTAAATTAGCAGTAAGGCTAGTTTTCTTCACAGTCAAGTGAAGATTTTTTCAGAGGCTTATGGTTTTTGTGGTCGTCGCAGGGCATTCAAATCAGCATGATCATCACGGATTACTGTATGCCTCACATGACAGGCTATGATCTTCTGAAGAGAGTAAAGGTGAGTGAAAAAAATCGCTTTTTTTTCTTTTTTCGAAAGGAGGTTACCGATTTGCGGGTCCATTGCAGGGTGTTTCTTCACTCAAGGAGATCCCGGTTGTGATCATGTCGTCTGAAAACGTAGAACAAAGGATAAACAGGTTGGTTGAATTTGCGTAAACAAGTTAAAGACGACCTCGTTCTAACCGTGTGAATGGATGAATGGATGATCGTTTCAACAGTTGTTACGAAGAAGGTGCCGAGGACTTCATCATAAAGCCCGTGAAGCTGGCCGATGTCAAGCGCCTCGTTAGCGGTCACCTGGGGGGAAAGAGCAGCGAGGTTGAAACGTTAGCTGCGAATACCAGGAAGAGAAAGCGCGTCTTGGAGGACAATTCTCCTCCGAGACTCCATCAGAGAGTAGCAGTCCAATGAGCAGCGCGCGAGATCTGGTAAAGTCTTCACAAGTTGGGACGACACATTCTTCTCGTTCCTGCAAGGCTTTCAGTATCGGTTGCGGCAGCCAGGATTTTTGCCTCGGCTTTTTCCTCCTTTTTCCAAAGGAGCTGATTTTAGCAGCAAAAGCTTACCGGCACGAATTTGTATAGAACAGGGAACACTCTTTTTGTAGTGCTTTTATTACGAAGCAATTCACTTCAAGATGTTATCTGGCACCTGTCTGTCAGAATTTCCTACAAAACTTTCGATCGTCACCAGCAGAAAGATATGTACGTGACAATTCATCGTTACCCAAAGTGTGCACTAAGTGGTTGCGATGTCCACTTCATGTGAAGAAAAATCTTGCCGCTTTTAACACCATCCAGCTGGTAGCCTTCTTCATATTCTTCTTCTCGGACAACTCTGGACAGCGTTAGTGCACAGCGGCCCATGTAATCCTGCAGCAGTGACAATGTTACTGCTACGCGTCCAATAACTTCTACGGAGAAAATCATCATGCGACAGACCTTGCCAAACGTATCGTGATCCCAGATTTCGACAATTAACATATCATGAATGGCGTCCTCCACCACAAAATCAAACGTCTGGTTCCACTCTGGCTGGAGCGTTTTATTGAGCACCTGTTTTATAAAGTCACACAGTCACATATTAAAACTTGAAAAACTGTTATGTTTCCTGCTTACCTTAGTTCTGATCTTTTGATCGCTTTTCTTCATTCGCAAGACCGCATAAGGATCTGCCAAACCATTTGTGTCGGCCGCTATCAAGTTCTCAGCTCTGATAACGGTCACCGTAAGAACGCCGCGGTTAAATTCATCATCTTCATCTATTCTGGGAGAGACCAAGTCGACATGCGAAGGTTGGAAGCTTTGCGGAGATGTATCCATTCGTCTTGGACTAGCAAGAGTTTTTCCTGGACTAGCCTGTAATTCTTGCTGCGGATGCCCATTGCTGTTTGTCATCATCGTTTCCAAAGAAGTCATTGGAAACTTTCGTTTCAAGTAAGGATTAACTGTTCCATGCTCATGATAGAGGAGCTCCACTTGTACCTGAAATATAGCAATTACATTGCAAGAATAAACAATATAAAAATAATATACCAAACCTGTCCACGATACTTGTGTTCCTTGACATTGTCAAGATCTTTCACCAATGTGAGCCACACGTCTTTCAGGACTCCTGGTTCCAAGTTCTTCAAAGGGAAAAGAGCACCCCCAATAAACTCGGATGCCTGAACACCTTCATCGTCGAAAACTTGCACAGTCAATTGTTGAGTGGAAGGATCCTCAACGTCAAAGATGTACTTTTCATTCCAAATGGGATGTAGATCATTGTTCTGATAGTGCATCCCAATCAGTAAAAACTTCAATACTACAGAATTGGATGTTACCTGGGTCTTGCTTCTTTTCATGCGGCTGGGGATGGGCCTGATGAACGTTCGAGCAAAAGGATCAGACTTGCCTGCCAAGTCTTTATTCAATAAATCCTTCGCTTGTACAAGCTTTACGTGCAAAGTTCCAACAACTCGGAGTTCTAAATTTCTACCAAAACAAACGCATCAGTATAATACAAGGAAAAGCATATACATACGAGTAATCTCCTGGTACGATGGGAATTATTTGCCGCACCGGCCACAGCAGAGAGTCTGTTATTGCAGTTTTTATCATCTCCTGAGAGAGAGAGAAGAAAAAAAAAAAACATGTCGATTCCGTGACCGCAGTAACATTCTCTCGAGACTTACATCAATAGCTCCTGCCAGTCCGGGCACGGACTTAATATCTCCTCCTATCACTTTTAGTGTAAAATCCAGTTTTTTCTGCAGTTATAAGTGATGAAAACGGACAATTGAGATTGCTCCACGTACCTGTCTACGCAAAGAATACACAATAGCACCGAAGCAAGGAAGATCCTTAACCAGCGGTTTAAATATCACTCGAAAGATTCCAGCAAACGCCGCATTTTTCACCTACCAGTAGATCAATACGACTGGTTAAATACTAAAACAGAGCTCAACGAAGGAACTGGAACATCTGGAATGGAAATACGAGAGACAATCAGCGCCAGCGATCCAAACCAACCTGAATAGGTAGCGAGACACCGAAAGAAGTAGTGACACCCAATATAATGCTCGGATTGCCATCCCACTCCAACTCGATCTCCATTACGACTTCATTCTCCATATCGTCGACCATATCAATGCCTGTAGAAACAAGCGAATGTTAGTCGATCAACAAAACAATCAAAAGAAGAAAAGGGAAACGAAAGTCCACCTACAAACTGAGGAGCAACTGTCCCGAGCGTGAACTTATCAAACTTTAGAGAGGAAATAAGAGGTGGCTTGTACTGATCGAGTATCGGCTCTACAATAGTCCGGGCCAATTCAGACGCTGCCTGTGCATCAATCAAACCGCATTCGTGTTTATCCACTTCGAAGTACCTGATCAACGTAAGGCCAGATCCTTCGCAACTCCTGGTTCATCCAGCTAACCTACAAACAAATCCACGAAGAAAAAACAAACAACAATGCTGTAGAGTTCCATCGAGAATTTCCTACAGTGTACCTTGTGAGACTGTGAGAAAACTATCCACGGAGGCATTGGCTGTTTGTAATTGCTGAAAACCTTCCTTAGATCATCCAGGCTGAGCTTGGAGAGAGCGCTCGTCGCGATCGCCTGGAAATAGGAGAAGCAATCACTCCGGCGATCACAGGGAATGAGAACTTACTAGCCGCTGCCGGGAATGCGAGCGCCGATTCTCGGACAGGACGAAGCCAAGAACAAGCGTTATTCCCACGATGAAGCCCACGATGAAGCCGCTGATGAGCGCCATATCTCCAGCTCCCGCTCCTCTCGCCCGCCGCGCAAAACCTAGCCCTTGGCACCCATCGCCTTCTCGCCTTCTCTACGCGCACAAGAGTCTCCTGGCAAGATGGTAGTTGTGGCCACATGGCCCAGATAGTCACACGGATATAATCACAAGACATGGATGTTCGTACAGCATGGCGTTTTGTGGCCATGGTGTCGGTGGCGCTTTGGTATAAAGTGTCGTACAATAGAACGTCATAGCCAGCCATTACTGGCTACACTTCCATGACTTTAAAATACTTCTTTGATTCTTTCCCGGCCTTGTGACTTTATCTCTGGACGGATCAATCGATCATCTTCGAGATCGCCAAGTTTCTGGATCGTTTGGATCCTGGGATTGATCAGATGTTCATTTCTTCTTTAGCTCGAAGAAATCTAAAGATCAAAAGTACCTCTTTTCTTGTCACTCGAGAATGTTCCGGATCACGGAGCTCAACCTCGCTTGATCCATCGCTAGTGTTTCCGGAGCTGGCCTTAGCTCTGAGAAGTCTCGAATGCAAAGAGAGCCATTCTCGTCCTGCTGCCAGAAGATCTCCACCATCATTCCCAGTGGATGATCTTCGGTGACTGTGCCGGGGACTGGAAAGTATCGCGTACCAACGGGTACCTGGTGTATGACACGAGGATCATCAGTTACCATACCACGAAGTTCATGTTTTACTACTCACCATGAGAACCATCCCATCGGAGAGACGAAGTTGCTCCAGCCGACCCTCGGAGTTTTGGAGCTCAGCTCTCTTGGCAATGTTTAGAAACACGTCCTCTAACGTTGTCAAGCCCAGCTGGATGTCGGTGATGCCAAGCTCCTTCGACTTGTAGCTCAATTCTTCAAAGAAATCCTGCGTCGAATGTAAAAGTATAATGAGAACCGCTCTGGAAGTATTGATTTTTACGTACTGCGAGTTTAGGCTGGCTCTGAGGAACAGCGAACGTCACGTACGCTTTCGTTTCTTCGCAAGGAGAAAGGTTAAGATGCTGAAAGTGCAACGCAATTTAGCTTTTCTTTTATGATATGTAAAACTCCGAGGCTTACCTCATGAAAGTATGCCTTGATGCCAGCCCGTTTTACTCGTTCTTCCTCCTCGACCTCGGCAGCACTTCCAGAAAACCCGTTTTCAACGCCAACGCTGATCTTGTATCCAGTCCCATACTTGGACTTCAAATGGATTGAGCTCCCAATGCATTGAAGCTTTCCTTTGGCCATGATCGCGATTCGATCCGCTAGAACGTCAGCTTCTTCCATTGAGTGGGTCGTAAGAATTATGGCACAGTTTTTCTTCGCATCTTCTATCACGTCCCATACGTGCCTACGCATTATAGGGTCCATTCCCGTTGTCTGCCATTCAAAGAATGAGTATGATTTCCACAAGCATTATAAGCACTTACAGGTTCATCCAAATACAGCACTTTCGGATCTCCAACGAGTGAAATGGCAACACTTAATCGTCGCTTCATTCCGCCGCTGTAAGAATCGGATCTTGTGTTTCCAGCCTCTGTCAATTTAACTTTCGCAAGCATCTCCTCTACTTTCTGCATTCAAAAGGTTACAAAACACAAAAGAATGCTAGCATTAGCGTACCTCGCGTTGTTTAGTCTGGTCAATTCCTTTAATCTTTGCAAAAATGTGTAGATGCTCCCGTCCAGTTAAAGAGCCCCATAATATATCAAACTTTATGGAAAAGACACGGCTAAACTTTCTCAGATTTTTCCGAAGTCAAAAAGGTCTCACCTGTGGGCAGACGCCCATGTAGCTTCGAATACGGTTCATGCCGTGAGTACTTTTTATCGACTCGCCGTAAACATAAGCTACGTGCAAAGGTTATCTCCAACGATTACAACTCAACAGTTGAACTTACCATCGCCGGCAGTAACCGGAAGTATACCAGTTAAACAGTTTATTGTCGTCGTTTTTCCAGCTCCATTGGCACCCAAGAGGCAGAATAGCTTCTGATTCTCAATGCTGAACCAGCAGCCCTGCGAGGAAGTAATGAGCCTGTATGAAATACGTTTTAAGAATTATTACCTGAACAGCGTGTTGAGGAGGTACCCTTCGCCACCGACAGCAGCCTGTCTTTTTCCGTGAACCCGAGAATGTCTTTACCAGACCTCGTACTTGTACAGCAATCAGCGGATCAACATCATTTTGTTTCACCGAGTCTTCTTCGGCTTTCACATCGTCGTCTGTAGCAGTTCCAGGTGGTGGTGAAGGTAAAATTTTACGTCCACAACATCCTAGATAAGCAGAGACATAGTTACCAACAGCTTGAAGATAATCTCAATCTAATACCTGTTGTTTCTTTCTCATTCATGTTTCCTGTCCAGTAAGATGCATGTGTAAAGTAAAACCATGGCTTACGAACCCCATTTACATCCGGAAGAACGTTGTCAAAGTATATCGCGAGCACAAGCCATAGAAAGAATGTTCCTATTAGCCAATAGTATCCTTGCTCCTGGGACGTAAGAAATTTTTTGAGTCGTTTGTACTTCAAAACAAATAGGTGCTTACCAAGGTGAGGACACAATCAGTTTCATTATCTCTAGGAGGACAACGATTACGACCAGCCCAAGTATATCCGGAGCTTTCGGAGCTGGCCTTTCCCAAATCACTCATGCCAGCCGCGAAAATATTGGGAGGAAAAAAAGACCAAACAATTTGATACAATTTAGAATAGGAGCTGCTGTAAGGGAAACCAAATGCGGTCACCAACTGGCAGGAATTGATCAAAAAAAGGAGCCAAAATACGTATCAACTTAGTGAACTTTGTCAATAATAAGAATCTTACCTGTGTTACAAAACCGACAATGAAAACCACAAAACCAACAGTGTTTGCTGACGATGTTTTCGTAACGAAAGTGGACAGCAGAAAGGAAAAGGCCACCTACATCCAGCTGCAAATTGTCGAAGAACAACTTCAGTAGTTAATACGTACCATGTTCGTCTGAAAGAGAAAGAAAACGAGGAAAAGCACGCCAAAATCGTTGTCCAGGAAGAAATTAAACTGGAACATCATGCCGGAAAGGACCAGCACCATCGACGAGAGGAAAGTCAAGCACACGTCCCATATCAGCCATGTCGACCAATACACGGAATCCATCAACCCCATAACAGACATTGCCTGCTCAAAGCGTTTAAGATGATCAGACCATAATCGTCGATGAATCATACCTGACGAAGCTTGAGCTCCTTCTCGGAAACCAAATTGCTTAGCTGAATGACAAATCCAAACATGGTGGCAGCTAGCAAGAAAGTGGGACCGATAGTTCCGACCGTAGAAAATGTTGTTCTCGCTGGATGTGGATACTCTGCAAACGAGACGTTCCATCCAAGACTCGGATCTGTAGCAACTAAAAGTGAGATTCCTTCACGACCACAACGATAAAGAGAAGAAAACACTTCTCCCTTGGTTGGTCTTACCTCTTGTCAAAAAGCGACTGATCTCCCTCTCGGCGGCGGCTTGCAAAGGGAGCTGGAACTTAAACACAGTGTCCTCAAACGTCCCACGAATGATCTTGGCGGTGGAATTCGTTTGGATTCCATACGCGATCACGTTTGGCTGCCGTTCTTCCAGATGAAGAGCTCCAGGACACTGCAATGGATGCGCGAGGAGCCATCTATCCACGTCGTCCGGGGTAGCAAAGCCCAATGTCTACGATCGAAGAGAGAGCCATTCGCTAAATAACTAAAGCTATGAAGCTATGAAGCTATGGAGGAAGAAATCTTACCTTGGACGGTGGTATCGGACGCCCGGGATTGTTCCGCAATATTTCCAGCACGATCCGAGCTGCGGTAGCGCTGGAATTCCCACTCCACACGAAATCGTAGCACGGATCCCTCATGAAATACCCGGTCTCGCAAGGAACGATCGGCGAGATCGCCGTTGCCGGAGGAGACTTGACGTCCCTGTAGGAAGTAGTCCCTCTTCTACTCGCCTGGATCGCTTGATCCACGCCAAAGATGAGCAGCACGAACAAGAACGCCGAGGAGAAGTGGATTATCGTGGAGCGCTTGCGCCGCAGCGAAAGCATGATATTCTTGTAGAAGAGCGCCGAGAACTGGCGCCGGAAGAGCCATAGCACCGGCGTTTCCATCGATCACGCTAGAGGAGGAAAGATCTTTTCAGCATTCTAGCATTGTCTGCTGACAGGAGAATCTTTCCTCTCTCTCTCTTTTCCTGTGGATGCCGAAGAACCCTAATCGATCGAGCTTCTAGGTAGATAGGTGGGAAATATTTCCATGGCGGAGCTGCATAGCCGCGCCTTCCGTGCGGATTCCTCAGCGGCCAAGCGCGTCACGATCGGGCTTCCATTCCTCGCCATCGCAGCGTTCACGATTCTTGTGATTGGGCATCTTGTGAAGCGGAGAAATCCCGGTAGGCATTCTTGCCCTCTTTTCCTTCTCACTTCCTCCTTCGTGCGTGCCTCAAATCTTCTCCTTGACGTGTGGCCTACGACATGCTAGCGAAGAATGCCGACAGCCTCTGACTCTTCTTAGCGATTAACCTCGTGGAATTTTCCATTACTCCCTTTGTTTGACATTTTAGTTCTAGGCAACGTGGTCTTTGAAGTTTTTGTTTCTTTTTTTTCTTCCTGGCCTTGCTGTTTGTTCCTGATCGTCCGTGATCTTCCGTGAGCTCTGTGGACTTTTTCTTGTTCCTAAGAAACCACCTGTGTCTACCATAGATGAGTTTGAGGCTTTTCCTTGAGTTTCTTGGTCGATCGATCCGCTGACTTTTTAAAGCTATCAGGTGGCAAGCGTTTGGGTGGAGCAAACAACACAACAGGCCAACACGCTCCAGAAGAAAATGGTGACGGGGTCGCGGATGACGATGATACTGAGACGCAGTGCTTGGAAATCCCCGGGAGTATCGAAGAGCTCCGTGCTCGACGAATACGGGCAATGGAGAAGCGGCTTGCGAGAGGCAGCAAGTCGAACGATCCAGGTTCAGCGAGATTAACTCCTCTAGGAACCATGTTAGCCATTTCCAGAAAGGTGCCTTCGCTCTTTGTTTGCCGAGTTAGTGTCTTTAATCGTGCTCTGCCGCAGATTGACGAGCTCGAGAAGCAGGTTGCGAGTTTTCTCGACTCCAGTTCTCAAGTCCAGCAAGTTTGCGCTTGTTCTTGTTTTCTTTTTTTCTAGAGTTTTCTGACTCGTGATCTTTGGTTACCGCAGCATAGATGCGAAGAACTGGTGGAGAATTTGAAAAGTTTGCAAATAGAAATCGACGCTGTCAGTGTAAGCACATACCCTTGTGTGGATTCATCCATTAACAAAGCGAAGTTATATTCCAGAGCGATGAGGCTGTGCGGGAACACAGGAAAATACAATCTTGTCGCGTGGAATCTCTAATGCAGGTAAGTTTCTACATTTCTCGATTTGGGTTGTATAAGTAGCTAAGTTGCTAAACTCCTTAGGAACTACAACACAGTAAACAGTGACGATCAGTCGAAGTCTTCTTTACACTTTTGAGAATCATCCGCTCCTACGATCGTATGAACCTGTGGGAAGAAGAGTAGTGTAAGCAAATCCTCGTAGCTTAAAGATTGACTCAACTGTGTGCCGGGATGTTGTGAACCCAGACTTTGGTTCCAGGCAAGATGAACGCATCGTTTCTTATCTGCTCGCCGATAGCGTCTCTCAAGTAGCACCAGTCCACCTTGTTGGCTAGAATCTCCGCGGCCGTGGTTTTGCCTTGGGGATCGATGGGAATTTTCGCTATGAGCTCGTCGTCGGCGTTGTGGACGAGCGCGCAATCGCAGTCCTGGTGATGTACTCCAGCCGGTTGGAATGGCGATCGTCTCACGGTGTATGGCACTGTTTGATCCAGAGAAAAAAAAAATCAGTTTTTGATCGAGCAAAAGAGGAGCTTTCTTTGCGATACCTCGAGCGTAGAGAATCGTCCCGCGAGGGACGATGTCGTTGGCCCGGAAGACGCGACCCTGGCCATCGACGAGATCGCGCCGAGCTCCATAGCCCCAAGTTTCTTGGATGATTTTGGCGGGCTTTCCTTCTGGAGGGAAGGAGTAGAGCAAGGCGCACTTGGGATTTGGAAGCATTACCCTCACCGTGTCGTAATCCGGCTCCTCGTTCGCATTCAGGATCCTCCAATCGTTCCCCATTTCTTTGTTCGTTTCGGGCTCGCGCTTGCCCTAGATTTTAAATCACATTTGCCGCGAAACCAAGCTCCTCGATCGCCACCGTTCAAACTAGGGCATTTCAAATTTCAAATAAATTACATTTGCCGCGACGCAATCGCCACCGTCCAAGCTTAGATGATTTAGAGCTCGTCTTGGTACACAATAGGATGAGAGGGAGGAGCGAACTTCTTGACTCTCTGGGGGATAAATCTCCTCTTCAAGATATATGCACAGACCATGATGAAGAACAGAGCTCCAACGATTAGTATGAGCCTACACAAGGAGAAACGCACAGATTTTAAGCAGCAAAGTAGAACGAAAGAACTAAGTCGTGAGTCTGTTTGATCGATCACCTGTCTAGAACGTCATGGCGAGTCAGAACGGAGAGAAGACGTCTTGTCGTCTGGAACAGTGATGTTTGGCCTGAATACTCAGACTCGGTTTTGTAAAGCATGGTGCTCGAGTGATCTGGATGAGAATTTAGCGAAGTTTAGACACCATAGATTGGATGGAAAACTCACCAAGAGCTGACAAAGTCGTCGATCCCCGATCGATTTCCTATGGTTGGAAAGAGAAAATATGATTGATTTGAGCAGAAAATTGAGATTTTAGAACCAACCTGAACCATCAATTGTCTCGTTCGTCTCAATGTTTCCGTGACGTTTTCGGCAGCGGCAGCCATTCCTGCTTGAGTCCTGAGGTTGCAAAACATTATTATCTTTCAAAAGGACTACACTGACTGACTTACTCAAGATTTCGTCGTCTTAGCGTCCCCTCTTTACCACCAGAGAGTAACATCTCTCTCTGACGTAGCAACAGGCTATCAAAGAAAGATTTTTTCGCAAGCAAGAAGAAAAGAATACCTCTTCGTTTGCAGATTTTCCTATGTTGGACTTGGCTCGTAGATTAGCACTCCGGAGACTCAATCTCAATCTAGAGGCAAGGATCAGATCGAACAAGAGGCAAAGGAAACAAGAAAAGTTACAAAAAAATACTTACGCTTCATACTCGTCCTTAAAATTTGATAGCAAGAGCTCGTAACCCTCGCTAGCCTCTTCACTGATGGAAAAAAAAATTCATTCTCTTTCTCGCAGCTAAAACTATGATTCCTTTCCCCTACCTTGGGTGCTGTGGAATGAGAACCTCCATGTTTCCCATTAGCGATCGAATTGCCGCCAGGGAATCCTGCGCGAGCGCATTGAGACGCGGGAGAGACCTAGCGTCACCAACGGATCTACAAGCGGCGACGGCATCGATCTTGCTCTTGGCATCCCTGCGCATTCCCTCCCAGTCCCTCTCGATCTTCTCCAGCGCGCGCAGCACTGCCGCTTCATCCCCCTCCATTGACAAAGAAAATTTAGGGTTCTAGCCAGAAATTTTAGGGGTTTAGATACCATGGCGTCGTTGGCGATGGCATTCTCCTCCAGCTTCGATGGAGCCGGCCGGGTCTCGAGGATTTTGCGATCGAGATCGGCAGTAGAGCGCTCGATCAGCGCCGCCAGGCCATGCGGTATGTCAAGCTCTAGTATAAGGGGTCTGCATTCTCACAATGTAGCAAGAATCTCGAGAATCGCCGCGCGAAGAGAGGAAGAAGAAGAGCCGCAGGAAGAAGAAGATTACGAGCTGCTGACGCTTGAGAAGCTGCGAGAACAGCGAAATCTCATGAACGATATCATGAAGAGGAAAGTGAGGGTCTACAAGAAGAAATTTAAGCGGCGAGAGGCCAGGGAGCAAGGCACTGTGGAAGAGCAATTTGTGTCCACTTTCGATAGGCTGGAGCCATTCTTTGAGGACGAGAAGCCGTCGGAAGGTATGAAGCAGCTGCTGGCATTGGTGGAATCAAGTCGAGCGTTTGACGAGCCTCCTCCGCCGAAGTACCAAGTTCCACAGTGGCTCCAAAACGCTGGTGTGATCACATTATACGCACTCTTCTTATACGTGAGACTTTTCCTTGTTTCTCTTGGATTGCTGCTCATTCTTTCTTCGGTTTTTTCCTGTTGTGGTTTTCAGGTTGTGGTTTACGTAAATGAAGTTCTCGACGACTATGACGAGCGAAAGGCTCTTGAGAAGGAAGCTGCGATGGCCGATAAGGGCGAGGATCTAGAGAAAGCTAAGAAGAGCATGGAGAAGAGCCTAGAGAGCGAGTTTAACGTAGCGGCGGGGCGAGTTGGAACCACTGCGGAGAACCAAAGAAACGTACAGAAGGAGCCCAACGTGCTGGAGAGATTCTCTCAGGTAACATAGCATTCAGCTTAACGCTCATAGTGGTTTTTCGTTTCAGACCATCCAGTTGTGGCTACGGTCTCTTTGGTTTAGCATCCTCGGGAAGTGGAAAGGGCGATCTTAGCAGAATTGTAGCTTAGGTGCGTTGCTGCGATGATATTTATCTTGAAGCTAACATCCATTTCATGGCAGGACTGGACTCTCCTTTTGTTTTCTTAGAGTGCATGTACATTGACAGGGAAGAATGCAATCTTGTTCGCATTTTCAGAGATGTTGCGAACGTTCTTTTAACTTCTATCCAGCTCTTCGCTCACAGTGGGCGTAAGGTACGTCATTTTATTTGTATTCATGCTTGTGTTTGTCATTTACAACGTGTTTATGTAGACTTCGGGGGGAAGACGCCGGTTTGCCACTGCGATAAGCGGATGTTTTCTTGCGACGATCACCCCTTGTCTCTCCTCCATGTTCATGGTGCTGCCGTCAGGAAGGGCCCAGTGAAATGCTTGCACCAGCCGTGCAAGAGTGAGCTCTACCATGCACAGTGCGAGAGACATCCCCACGCACATCCTCCTGCCTGCTCCAAATGGTATGAGCTCGAAGTCGCAGCCTTTGACATCTATAGACGAGTTTATGAAGCGCTCGGGCATGAATTCTTCCGGTGAGTCCCATTGAGCTGGATCGCGTCCCATCGACCAAGCATTAATTAGAAGCCATGTTTTTGCCGGAATTGTGTAGCCTTTGAGAGTGCACGCTTCGATGGACTCGTGCGGTGCCATCATAGGAGCTGCTGGATGCAGTCGAAACGTCTCTTTGACCACAGCTTTGAGGTAGTGTAGATGATGAAGGTCATTCTCGTTCACCAGACGACTGTCACCAACAATGACATGAATCTCTTGCTGAACTTTTCTCAGGCAATCGGGATTTCTGATGAGCTCCGACAAGGCCCACTCGGTCGTAACTGCGGTGGTGTCTGTTCCTCCAGCAAGGATATCCTTCAGAGACGTAAGAGCGGTTTAGTTCTTATGAGAATTGCTTTGTGAGCTTACCAGGATCACGGCTTTTATGGCACTGTCCTCAATTCCGACCGACTGTAGGACGTCCACCAAGTCGCCAGATTTCACCTTTTCTTCTCGATGGTCGTCGACAAGCCTCTGTAAGATGCAATCAATCTTTTTGCTTGTCGTTTTTAAACGTGGAATGTATCCTCCAGGGTCAAGCCGCTTGAGAAAAGGTATGTAGTCGCCGAGATTGACTGCTCCCATCAACCGTACTGCCTCCAGGATCACGTTCAGTGGTTCTGCGTCTTCCGAGCACTCTCCATGACGGAACTTCTTGCCAATGGCCATGCGAGTTATAACATTCAAGGTGAGAGTTGAAAGCTCAATCTTCATGTTGAGGGGAACTTTGAGTTGTTCGGCCACTCTTTGCAGGAGATTTTGAGTTTCCTCGAGCCTTGTGTTCTGGAAACTGGAGAGACGTTTTGAACTAAACAGCTCCGTCGTGCAAATCTTCCTCATTTCCCTCCAGTAGGGACCATATTTGCAGCAAGAGATGTTCTTCGAGTTGTAGCACAGGCTTTGCGGGGAAATGAGAACAGGCCTCGACGCAAAGACGCGATCGTAAGACGTAAGGATTTCTTTTGCTGCTTTCTTGGATGAAATGACGATGGCTGTTTTGTTTCCCAGCTTAATGGTCATTATGGGACCGAACTTGTGCGAAAGCTTGTGGAATGACTGGTGTGGGAGCTTGAGAAGAAGATGGAGGTGGCCAACAATTGGCAGTGCCATCGGTCCCGGAGGCAGCCTCAATCGAGACTTGAGCATCAGCCACCATGAAACAGATATTACAGCAGTCAGAATGCAAGCGAAGGTGAGCAAAAACCAATTCATTTGAGTGCCGGGACTTGTGGACAGATGATCAAGAGCCTGACAGGCAACTACAAGCAAGGTGAAAAGAAGTGAACCTATGACAAACACAAAAGTCCCTGGAAGCTTCATCTTGCAGCAAGAGGTGGGCATTTGCTTGTCAATTTATAGTAGATTGAAGTCTTCGAATGTAATGCTTCTATTTTGTCTCAGTAAGAATTCATCGAGTCATGAGCGGGAAGTCAGTCAGATCCAACTTTCCAGGTCACGAGGTCAAGAGACGTTTAAGCACGACACAGGTGACAGAGAAATACTGTCATTGTGATGAATCGATATTACTCTTTCGAAACGCAAGTTCATGAGATCGACTTGACTCGCTTCAAGTTACAATGACATGATCGTTTTGATCATTTTGTCAAGAACGTCAAGCGTGACACACTGGTTCTAGGACAGGCATGGAAGCTCCACTGTGGTGAAGGAGAAAATTCCAACATGTCCACCTTGGACCGTCGCAAACTTAACTGGTACTTTGCTTCCCCGTTCCAAAGTGTTAACTTGGTTCTTGGTTGGAGCAGTCCTACAAGATCTGGCACGCTGGTATCAAAGTTTCGAGAAGAGTTCCAAGGATCTTACCTCGAGACACAGAGGCTGAAAAGCGGGACTCCAGGTGATGTCTTTCTAAACTGGCTGTTTGGAGCGTAGACGTCAAAGACCAACTTGAGAGAAGAAGAAGAATGATCATCTCTTTCTCTGTCGATCGATTCGGGTTCTTCCTTGGCCGTCCAATCCACATTGTGGCGAGAGACGACATAGCCAAGAGCTTTGAAATGCGAGTAGACGTTGTAAGCGTCCATCGAGCAGCCATTCTTTTCCACTCCCAGAAGCTCGAGAACTTCGTGGAGATCCATCGTTCTTCCTTGCAAAGTGAGAATGAGACATCCTTGCTCCACAAGATAGCTGGACCAAAAGATTTGAAGATCATTCAATCGAAAAGAATTTTTTTTTTTATATTGCTTACATGGTTTCTTCCACATTGCATAGCAGCGAAGAACTCCGAATCACTCCAGTCGTGTTCCAGATTTTTCCTCTTGGATTTGCGACTCGAGCCATTCCAATCCGACCATCCCACTCTGCCGTGGATGCATCCTTCCTAGAGAAACCAATCTATACCAAAAATCTCTACTGAAAATCGAGAGAACCTCACGATCACAGTCGGTCCTGGAACATCGAACAAATCCTCGGCGCGTTTCCTCGCTGCGATCCACTCCTGGCGCTTAGCTGGTGCGAACAAACGCCGGATCCACGATTGGATCCACGCACGGATCCACGAGAAAAGGAGCATTGCTCTCAAGAACCCTAATTTTTGTAAAATCCCAATGCTAGTCTCGACATGGATTGTGGGAATGGCGCTCGTCCTCGCCTCGCTCTACGCCACTCACAGGATCGGTCTGCCGCACGGCCGCAATCTCCAGCTCCAGTCCACAAATCCAGCGCTGAATCTCACCATTTTTGCAGCTCCATCCAGCATCGAAGCCCCAGTGCAGCGCCTGGCGCTCCATTCGTGGCTGGATCTCGTCCCGCCGCCCTGTGTGGTGCTGCTGGGATCGGATCCATCGCTGCATCGAGTGGTTTCTTCCCTTGATCAAGAGCATTGCATCTCGGTTGAATCAAACGTGGATTCTACGTAAGTTGTTGCGAAATTTTTTGGGAAGAGTGTTCTAAGGATCTTTACAGAATGTAGCTTCCAGGGAGTGCCATTCTTCCACTCGATGGTCGCGAGAGCTCGATCAGCCAGCTCGGGAGTAGTAGTTCTCGTTGATCCGGACGTTGTTCTTCCTCCCAGCCTCACCAAAGTTCTTAGTCATGTCAGGAGCCTCCAGCATCGTCACTGGCTCATGGTTGCCACGTCCAAGACACTGCCTGGATCTTCTCTCGCGATCGACAAGCTTCACCAGGTAAGAATCTTCTTCTTCTCTATGGTTTCCTTCTTCAGCGATCTCAATTTGATGAAGGTGGAGGACTATGTCAGCAAGAATGGTCGCTGGTCCGAGTGTGGTGGAGTAAAACTCTGGGCTTGGAATCCATCCCAGGTACCACTTCACGCTGGTGTTCTTCCACCTTTTCGGTATGGAGCTGGCTTCCACAACCAGTGGATGCTAAACGAGGCCATAGCATCAGAGCTGCGGGTGGTGATTGACGTGAGTGAAGCACTTGGAGCGTTCCAGATACTCTTGAACAACGACACAATCCAAGCACCACCATCGAGCACCTGGGAAGTTGATGCCAATGCTCGACTAGCGAGAACTTACGGCTCCTACGCTTTCAAGCCACCACATTTCTCAAACCAGCCGGTAGCCAGGCTCTTCCCTTGTGGATCGCAGCTGTGCCATCAAAGCTGTGACGCTGGAGGGAGAAGCCAGGCCTTAATGACGAGTTTCCGGCGCTATGTCCACGAAAGTGAGAGTTCCTGCGGGAAACTTTCAGCTCCACAGCTAGATTGTTCTTCATCGCAGCACCAGGTTTCTGGAAATCTCTCTTCGATCACCAGTGGCTATTCGTACCAGCTCGAGTCATTGCTGCTCAAAGTTTCCAGTCCGGACAAGGTAGTGGTGCTCACTGTCGTAAGTCACAGCTACAGGGACATGCTAATGAGCTGGGTGTGCCGGCTTCGCCATCTCAACGTTACGAACTATCTGGTAGCCACCATTGACAAGGAAATGTACCAGTTCGGGATTCTACAAGTAAGTCACCCTCCTCCTCTGTTTATTTCTCTTTGCTCTTTGTGAAGTTCTAAGACTTGGAAAAACTCTATCGCAGGGATTGCCTGTATTTCGAACGGAGTCTGGGAGAAGTGATTCCAAGGATTGCACGTTTGGAAGTAGCTGCTTTAAAACAGTGACCAAGTCCAAGTCTAGAACCGTGCTGCGAATTCTGGAGCTTGGCTACAGCGTTCTCTTCAGCGACGTGGACGTGTATTGGTTTAGCAGCCCGATTCAAGAGCTCATGGCTTTCGGGCTGGGAGTTCTAGCAGCACAAACGGACGAGTACAATGAGAAAGGTATGGTACGTTTGGAAGTTTAGCTCTCATCTATATCACACTCTTTCCAGAAGCTGTTAATCTCCCTCGCCGACTGAATTCCGGCTTCTACTTCGCGTGGTCGGACAACGCCACCATAGTTTCCTTCCGCAAGATCGTGAAGCACGCCGCCAAGTCGAAGCTCTCGGAGCAGCCAAGCTTCTACGACGTTTTGTGCGGCGAGGATGGGAAGCACAGGAAAGGCAATTCTTCGTGTGTGGAGCCGGAGACCAATCTCACAGTCGAGTTCCTGGATCGCTGGCGGTATCCAAACGGAGCCTACAAGCTCATCTGGGACAGCAAAGACGTGAGAGGAACTTGCCAGAGACTTGGCTGTGTGATTCTCCACAACAACTGGAAGACCGGACACCAGCAAAAGATCGAGAGACAAACGCGAGCAGGCTTGTGGGAGTATGACCCAGAGACGAGGATGTGCTCGAGAGCTTGGAAAAATCACGAAAACTCCAAGCATTTCTATTGAATGGTAGTTTAGTTAAAACGTGGTTAACGTTAACTGCCTTTTAGTTTATATAGGGAAAAGGTTAAGGATGCCTGGATTATAAAAGGATCCAATGTTGTAGAAACCCTTGTCTCTCAGATGGGAATTCCAGTTTATTTTGCATCGGTTTTGAAAGAACACCCGGACTGCGTTTGTGATGCCAACACGGGGCTGCTTTCAACATGCGCCAACTTGTACGTAGATGTAGGCTCCGCCATCTTTGTGATTTTGGAGAGGGAGGACTGCCCCGCCACCTTCGCCGGCTTCTATCGAGAGTTCGTGGATTCCATGCACACCATCTTGAGTATCGCGTCGCCCAGCAAGCTTGTGTTCTTGGCTCTCGATGGAAGGCCTCCAGCTGCAAAGACTTTCCACAAGATCTTTAAGAAGTCCAACGGGCAAGGTACTGTTTCGAAGGAGGAGGAGCTGGATCCGTCATCCGTGGATGATCGGTTTCTTCCAAAGAAGGAAAAGGAAAAGTTCGCGATGGTTTGCCATGGAACGCCATTCATGGACGGTGTGGTGAGGGAACTGCGAGGTCTTGTAGCTAGAATGAGCAGTGCCCATCCAAGGATGAAGTGGATTCTCTCGACAACGGAGGAGGATGGAGAGGGAGAGCACAAGATCTTCAAGCACATCAAGACTGTGCCTTTCAATGCCCACGACACTTTCTGCGTGGTTGGACGTGATGCGGATTTAATCATGCATTCCCTGGCCAGCCCGGTCTCGAAGAAGATCAACATTCTCAGGCAAACGCCCAGCAAGGAAGGAGGCATGGATTACAAGATTTTAAGGATTGACAAGCTGATTCGGGACTTGGAGGTTGAAATGAAGGAGCCCTCCAAAGTGAGATCGAGATCCGCAATGAGGGACTTCGTGTTCATGTGCTTCTTCCTCGGGAATGACTTTCTCCCGAACGTGGGTTTTTCCAGCGTGAAAGATGGTGTCAACATACTGCAAGCGACGTACAAGGAGGTTTTCTCGGAGATTGGAGAGTTCCTCATTGATGTGGAAGGGCAAATCAACATGACAGTTTTGGAGAGCTTCGTCCGGAAACTCTCCAGGAGAACGACGACGAGGCCAGCACAGGACGATTGCTCCTCTCATGAAAAAAACGAGTCCTTCCTCGCGCTTCTCAATTGGTGCTGCAATTATTACTTCAATAGTTCGGCATTGCCTGAGTCTTACTATCGATGGGAGACAGCTCCTCCTCTGGAAGAATTCGCTGCCTTCATCGCAAACCATCAGCGAGGTCCTCAAATCAGCCCAGCAGCACATGTTACATTAGACTTAAGGCCGCAATGGCTGAAATCATATACTTTTGTCACATCACGCCAAACGTAGGATCAACACGTTTTATATATATATATATATATATATATATATTTATATATATACACATTTATATATATATATATATATATAAATATACATACAAAGATATAGAAATATATATATATATATATATATATATATATATATATATATATATATATATATATATATATATATATATATATATATATATATATATATATATATATATATATATATATATATATATATATATATATATATATATATATATATATATATATATATATATATATATATATATATATATATATATATATATATATATATATATATATATATGTATGTATGTATGTATATATTCTATTCCCTTAAGCTTGAGCTTCAAAGCATTGATGTCTTTCAAAAAAAAATCCATAAAATTTCTCTTCTTCAAATTTATGAAAATTAATATGATTTAGCTAGCAATGTACTAAATCATGTTGAAAGCCACTATAAATATTCATAAAAATCAATATGTGATTAAACTATCTTGAAGATAATAATAGATATTTATAATTTATACTTCTTATTGAATTTTATAAATACACCACAAACCTAAACCTAAGGTTTTTAAAAGAGAAACCCTAAATGTGAGGAAGGAAATAAGTCGACACTGCCTGGATTATACAAGTCTCTTTGGTGTATTGGTCATTAAAAAGCATGTACAGAGTCAAGGCAAACCTTCACTATGTCCAGGGTAGGATCAAACGTTTATTAATAGTAAATTTTAATAATATAAAAAATTAATAACATACCAAGTGAATTTGATTGGTGTCACTCTGCCTTGACCCTCCAATTGCTCCCACAATAAGGCCACATATGGCTGTATTGTAATCACTTCCAGTTTTGGGATTGTTCCAACCATATGTTGTCATTAATCTGCAAATGAAATGCTCGTCCACCAAGCATCCTTCTTGTTATAAACATTGGTGAGAAGATGTAACAAATATGGCAGTGCTCCATCGTTTATAATGAACTGGAAATAAATTTAAAGACAAGCGTAAGAAACATCTAGGATGTTCTCCAAGTCCTGATTGTCCAGACCCAAAATTTGGATGCGGCCCATGCACAGCCACCACTTTGCCTGGATAGTAAGAGGAATCCCACACAAAGATCTTAAAGGCTGCAAAATACAAACACATAGTCCTTCTGAAAAATAGTTATGAATTACCTTCAGTCAATTTGCTTTTGCTTGCAACTGTTACAAGAAAGCAGTGGGACCTCCTTTACTCCCTTCTACATTTACTTCTTCTTCAGAGAACTTTAGAATGGATAGCCCTGCCTCGACTAAAGGTTTGCATTCTTCCATGCCGATTAACTTCAAGCCATTGTAATGGGGATATTGCTTATTCGCAGTTCTAAACTTCCTCCCATGTCAACCTCTCTTCAAATTGATTTCATGCGGACCTTGATCCCGAATGCTTCAACATCATCCATCAACTCGTGAATGTCAGGGTCACTAGCATGATGTTATACACAACAGATAAGCTGGGTGTGTTTCTTCGTACAATTTGTTCTTCAAAAAGGCTCAATCCAGCTTTTAACGTAGATGGAAGTCTAGAGTTTAAAAGAACTTCCAAAATTTCATCAATCTCATGGATAAGAAATTGGATGCACTCCACAGAATGGACAAACAATTCAGGACCATGAAAGTAACATTTCATTAGCTATGCACTAAAGAGATATAATATAACATGTTTAGGGTTTAGGGCTAATGGATCCGTTTAAACCCTAATGTCTGTCGTGGCGTTCCGGGCTCTTCGTCTCTTCTCCGTCGCACGCAGCGCTAGCCCTAGAGGATCGGTCCGCCTTCGCGCTTGCTCCACCACCGCCACGGCCTGCTGCGGCGCCATGGAGCAGTTTGAATCGTTCCGCGCAGAGATGGATGCGTCCAATGCCGTGAGGGAGCAGCTTCGATCGGCGGTGTCAGAGCTGGACAACGCCACTCGCCTCATGAATGCGGCATTGCTTCCAATCCATCACTCCTCCTCCGGCGGTAAGCGTAGATCTATTGCGTTCTTCTCTTTAAAAATTTAAACTTCCAGATAGTATCAAGAAAGCCAAGAGCTACCTTCCAGAGATACGAAAGGCTTACATGGACCTCACGGCGATCATCAAAGCTCGGCCCGAGGAGTACTACAAGTAAGTGTATGTACGATGTTTTTTTTTTTCTTTCTTCTTGCGTGTGTGTTTGTCATAGATGGATGGTTTGAGAGCTATCTCTTTCCTTTTTTTCTTCCAGGTATCACGACTACTGGCGGAATCAAACGCAGGTCGTGGTTTCCTTGCTCGCATTCTCGCACTGGTTGGAGACTGGAGATCTTCTTTCTCACGCTGACGCGCAAGAGCTCCTGGAGCGTAAGCTCGATTACAACTTCATTCTTGGCTTACTTCATTCTCATCATTTGCAGTGAAGAAAGAAGATTTCTTTCTGGATCTAGACGACTATCTAGTGGGTAAGTTTCGAGTCTCCAGGCTTTTTTTCGTGTTTTGATCTTTGATCTTTGTCGCAGGCCTATGCAACATGTCCAGCGAGCTGGTATGTGTAAATGCGTGGTTTTTATTGTACGTTTTGTGAGGATTTTTAACTTCTTTCCATACTGTGCACAGCCAAGATACGTCGTGAATCAAGTTGTCGCGGGAGCTTACGATTGTCCCGAGAGAGTTTCGCTGTTCTTGAGCGATTTGTACTCCGCGTTCCGGCTCCTCAATCTCCGAAACGATCATCTCAGGAAGCGATTTGACGGTACGAAGTGAAAATCTTTCGCTCTACACTGACCCCAGTTTCTTTGTTTTGTTTTTTTTTTTTTTTCTTGCGTGAAGGATTGAAATACGACCTCAAGAAAGTCGAGGAGATTTTGTATGACGTGAAGATCAGAGGGCTTCTTACAGGAAAGGAAAGCAAGACACCGGAAGAGACCAAGTGATAATGATCTCAGGTAGCTCGCTTTTATTTTATAGTAGCACTACCCCAAACTAGGAATGATCCATCATCCTAGCTTGGGAACTTGACTCACTTTGTTGTTAGAATCCGTGAAGAGCCGCACTCGATCCTTGCGAAAATCCATGGTCATCATGCTGCCCTCTGGAAGGATGACAACATCAAGGGTGCTGTGAACCTCCTTGAGCTTCTTCTTGGCTTCCTCGGCGTCCATGCCGACGAATTCGTCCCATTTATCTGCAGACGAGCAAGTTTAGATCATGAATGGAGAAAATCGAAACTTACCTGCGCAGCAAGGTTTCTCTCCGCTCATCGTTCTCTCCCAAGCAAACAAACACACTGTGAACAGTGATAGCCCTCTATATGATATCTATAAGCGAATACACCCAGTAAGATTCCACGTCCACGCGTGCTCGAAGCGTGCCCTGTCTTGACAAAGAAAGCGAAATGAAAGAGTTCGTTTAGAACGTAATACTATGTGTCTTACTTCTTGTGTTCATGGAACACGGCACTGGCCAACTTGCCAGATCTCATTGGCGTACTGTGAGATGGTCCTGTCGCTGCTAAACTTTCCCGATCCAGCAGTGCTAAGAATCGACATCTTCATCCATTTTGCGCGATTCCTAGACAGGAAAAAGAGTCATGTAAGTCACGGCTCGAGGAAAGAAATGTGTCTATACTTGTAAGTCTCGTCGACTTTGTCTTGGGCATCCAGGTACCCGGGGAAGTCTTGACCGACGAGAAAATAATCCCCTCGGCCATAGCCGGTGTCACCCTCAAGAGCCTCTAACAGTGGCTCGTAATCGAAATCGCCAAACGCTTTCGAGCGAATGAAGTCCTTCACCTCTTCGAAGCGCGGGTCGGGAACAAACTACAAGAACACATGAGAAGTTACTTGTGAAAGAGATGATCATAGGATTGAGAAGCATTACTTTGCCTTGTTCTCTTTCTTTTCTCAGCCTGGGGACGTCGTCGGCCCGAGCACCAAAGAGGAAGAAGTTGTCTTCACCAATTTCCTCTCGGATCTCAATATTGGCTCCGTCCAGTGTCCCGATTATCAGGCTCCCGTTGAGCGCAAACTTCATGTTGCTCGTACCGCTTGCTTCCATTCCAGCCGTGCTGATGTGCTGCGAGAGCTCACTGGCAGGGATGGCGAGCTCTGCCACCGTGACATTGTAATTTGGAATGAAAACAACCTGAATAGAGGAAGCGATCTCGGTTTTTGGTATTGAAAGCATCACAAGCTTTCGTACCTTGAGATGTGGAGAGACGTTGGGATCATTGTTGACAACAGCTCCAACGTCAGTAACAAGTTTGACAATTCGTTTTGCCTGTGCGTAAGTTGCAAAAGCTTTGCCACCGAACATGACAGTTCGTGGGACAGTGTTCGCACGTTCTTCGGGACTCATCTCCTACATTGACAACCAGCTATTAGAAACGAGAAAAAAGAGAAAGGAAACTTATAACTGTGGCAGACCTTGATCGTTTTGTAACGATAGATCACGGATAATATATTGAGCAGCTGACGCTTATACTCGTGAATCCGCTTGATTTGAATGTCGAAAAGAGTTTGTGGATTGACTTCGACCCCTACAACCTTGAGCAAGTAATCTGCGAACCGGACTTTGTTGGCTAGCTTGGCAGCGTTCCATTCTTCCTGGAGTTGTTTGTTCTCTGCAAACTGAATTCAAGGCAAAACTTACCGCCTGTCTTTTGAAATATAGATCTTACCTCTCTCAGGCCACTGAGAAGGTCGAGGTTTGTGACCCATTTATCAGTCCTCAGCCACTTGGTAATGATCGCACTTAATTCGGGGCTGCAAAAACGTAGCCACCGCCTTGGAGTGACACCATTTGTCTTGTTATTAAATTTTTCGGGCCATAGCGAATAGAAGTCGGAAAAGAGCTCCTTCTTCAATATCTCGCTGTGCAGCTCTGCAACTCCATTCACCTGGCAAGCATAATCAGCGTGCCTTCCTCGCTATAAATTTGTAAACGTTACCGAATGAGCAGACACAACACACAAGTGTGCCATGCGCACAAGCTTCTTTTCGGGGTTGGAGTTATCCAAAACTTGTAGAGCTTCCAGTTTACTTTCTAACTCGGGCCTTGTTCTAGCCACAAGCACTTGAAACTGCAAATACAAGCAATTTTATAAGACAAACTCAATGAGAGAGAGAGTGAGAATGCCTACCCGCTTATCAATTTCTGCTATAATCTCCATATGCCGAGGTAAAAGCTTGGCCATGACAACTTGTGACCACTTCTCAAGTGCTTCCGGAAGAACAGTATGGTTAGTATATGCTATAGTGCTGTTAGAATCGACAACATAGAAGAAAGTTGACAGACCGGGAATTACTTGTGTGAAAAAAGAAGAACCAACCTGGAAGTAATGTTCCACGCCTGATCCCATCCAAGTCCTTCGTCGTCCATCAAAATCCTCATCAATTCTGGAATTGCCAGCGTTGGATGCGTATCGTTTAGTTGAACAGCAACTTTATTTGGAAACTCATCCCATGAGATAGCTCCACGTCTTTCTTTGAAACGCGAGAAAATATCCTATATCACGAAGACAGTATACTTTCAAGCTGAAACGCTTAAAACACACACAATCACCTGCAACGAAGCACTGCACAGCATGTACTGCTGCTTCAGACGCAAGAGCTTTCCATCTTCAGTACTGTCTCCAGGATATAAAACTGAGCAGATCTGGAAGGAAGTATATATGTCATACGAAACAAAGTTTTGTTTTAAACAAGAACGCACCTGGTCGGCCTTAAGCTGCAGCTGAACTGCTTCCTCGTGTTTTCCGGCGTTAAAAGCATACAAGTCAAAATCTTCGGCGGGCACGCGCGCTTCCCAAATTCGAAGGCTGATTGTGTTCTTTGTGTTGTAGCCAGGGATGGGGATATCATAAGCCAGAGCCTGCATAACTTCTCCCCCGATCCATTTCCGCCTTGAAAGATGGTAGAAGAGCTTAGAGTTTTGTAAACGCTAGAAGCAAAAAACAAATCACCTTCCATCAGAATCGACTTGCACCTCACCGAAAAATCGAACTGGATATGTTACGTCGTGCCTGACTATTTCCCAAGGGCTAGACTTCTGCCAGGGAAGATCAAGTGAGCACGAACGATTGCTTCGCTAACAAGCAAGGGAAATACCTCTAGCCAGTCCTCTGCATATTCTTCCTGGCCTTTAGAGGAAATTATCTGCTTAAAAAGCCCGTACTTGTATCGTAGGCCATATCCCCACGCTGGTAAATCGAGAGTCGCCATGGAATCTAGAAAACACGAGGCAAGCCTCCCGAGACCTCCATTTCCAAGAGCTGCATCTTTTTCCTGGAGAGAAAATTCCTTTAGCTCGAACGAAACCACAAAGTTTGGATACTTAGAACTTACTTGTTCTCGTACGTTCTCGAGATCATGGCCCAGCTTCGTCAGCGCAGCCGCGTAAGCGTCCGAGAGGCCGAGATTTCCAATGGCATTGGTGAGAGCTCTTCCTTGGAGAAACTCCATGGACAAGTAATAAACTTGCTTGGGATCCTCCTCGTGGAAATGCTTGTATGTTTCGTTCCATCTCTATAAAATTTCCATGGATCCAACCAAGAGAAAAGAATCATGTTCTTCCTCTAACAATCCATCCAAGAAAAATTTCTATATCGTGAATAGGAGACTAGACAGACCTGGACAAGGGCGTCTTTCACGCTCGCCGCAGTGGCATAGAATGCCTGCTCCACCTCGAACTTAAACGGCGAGAATCGAGAAGAGAACTGCGAATGGTAGACAATGTTGGCCGCCACACCGAAAGAATCCCCGGGAGTGGGATGCGCAATGGCAGGCACCGCCGATTCGCTCGCATTGGACGCCATTGCGGAGCTGCCACACGATCAATCGCGGCGCCAGGCCGAGAAATCCCCTACCTTGCGCGCTCGCTAGCGAAATATTTTCTCGATCGCGATCGATCAATCACGAGCCCACGCTTGCCAAGCGGCAGCCTTATACAACACGAGAAAGGAATCTTTTTTCTTCCAATTAGTTTATTCTAAGCAATACTAATCAAATATGCCTTAAAAATTTTAATCGAATAAAAGCCCTAAAATCAAATAAACCCTAAAAAACTTTAACCCTGTATTTTGGATTGCTTGAGCTTTGAGTAAATCCTTATGGCATAGAGAATGAGGAGTAAAAACGCGGTGGTGGCGAGCCCAGCGTAAGCAGCCCAGAGGAGATGGATGGAGCTCCTCACGGGGCGGCACTTACCATCCACGATCACCGAGAAAGCGCGCACCACAAAGGAGCAATTCGCGAGGCTTTCCAGCGATGGGGTGGCGTCGATGAGCGTCTGCGCGGCGGCGCTGTAGGCCAGAATGGTCCTGTAGATCGGGTCTGGGATGTGCTGCACGCCTTCGGCGGTAGCACACTCGTGCTCGTCTTTGGCCGAGCATCGAAACGGCTGGAGCACCTGCAAGTTTTTTCCATGAAAAACCATCAAAGTTTGTGACGATCGATCTGAAAGCAGCGTCTCTTAATTACCTGGGGAACGTTACCTATGGCCACAGTGCCTTCGAGGCACTGCCCTGTAAGTTTGTAGTGTGGAGGGCCGGAGAATGGATTGCAAATGTGGGGGATGACGCGGTTGTCCCCGATGCCATCCATCGTCGTACGCAGCTTCGATATATTCCTATTCGCCTGGCAAGAGAAAAGCTTCGGATTTAGATGCATGGCTGGAACACCACAAGCTTGCTTACCTGTGCGATAACTCTGTACATGCCTTCACGTATCTTGAGGACTGAGTCGTTCCCATTCTTGGAATCGACGCAAGGCAGGAGCAAGCCCAGTGCGTTTGTGTTGTTGTATGGGTTTTGTTGATACTCCTCTAGAGCTGTACAGGAGTCGTCCACGACACTGACAGCTTATTTCAGGTGAGAAAGAAGCGGACAAAGAAAAACTATCAGATTACTTGTGAGCCGCGTAAGACAATCCAAAGGCGATCCAGCTGAATACTGTCAGTAGCCAAAGAGCAACAGTAATCCTGCCATAACATAACGAAAAGGCATAAGATACTTTCAAAAAATTAGAACAAGACAAAAAAACTACTTACAACGGAAAGAACCACCACCAAAACGGAAGCGTCTTCTCTGCAACACCATTTAATGTTCAGTATACACGAGTACTTATCACAGAAATCTGACCCTACCGATCAAAATAACTAGTCCCACTATCAAAAAGAGCATTATTACCGAGCTCGTAACAAGGATAGTGATGTATCTGCAATGAGAAAAAAATGGTTAACCACATCGCTTAACAATCGCAATGGAGCTAACCTCACATTTCTTTCAACGTTCTCTCAATCAGCTTCTTGTTGTCCTGAACCTTTTGTTGGATTTGCACGGCTTCAAAGTAGAGCCTAGCCTTCGACGAGAACAGAGTAGTAAGGTTACCATCGAATGGCTCCAACTTGGTCGTTATATCCGTCATCTCTGTCGTGACATTGTATATAGTAGCTGTGGCATTGTTGGCAGCCTCAATAAGAACATCTTTCACAACGTTGGCGTCCTCGTGTAGCCTCTTGTTTCCGACAAGAAGCAAGCAGCAAAAGACACTAAACGAGCCCAAAGTCAGTCATCGATATAAACAAGCTTCGAAGCACGGAGAACACTTACAGTGCTAACAGTGTCAAAAGAATCAAAGCCGCCGAAGACGCAATAGAGTGATGGGAATTTGAAGCACTAGGAGCAATCTTTTGGAATTTTAAATCCCTCCTCTTCATCGATCGAACAAAAAGCAGCGCCAGGAAAACGAGGCCAAGTAGTACTGATGCCACCGCAAGTGCGTACCCATATATCCCCGAAAAAAGCACCGACTAGCATCACAAAAGCATCACGATTAGGAGCTTCACCAAATTTTCACTTTGTAGCAAATTACAAACAAGACGATCTACTTACCGCCCAGTAATGCTTGTTCTCGATGTCAAATCCCCCTCGGTAGTGCTTGAGACCATCTAGAGGATCCACACGGCGCGTCTCCCCAGGCAAGGAATCGCTGAAATTCCGTGTGTGTCGGAGATATTTCGCCTCAGCACCTGGAAAATTCACAGAAAAAGATGTCAGTTGCTTGAATCGATCAAGAAAACCTCTCAAGCTTACCGCGATCCAGCAGGAACGCGCGCCTGGAATGTAATGCATCATGCCCTTGCAAAGACCGTGGGAAGAAAGCGCAAAGAACAATCACGAGGCCCAGCCCGAGCTGCGCGACGATCCCCATGACCGGCGATCGCGCATAGCTGCCAAAATCTCGGCAATATTTCAGCTCACAAGGCGCCCGCTCATTCTGCGATCAAGCGATCGGCCAAACAAAGAAATCAACAACCAGAGATCCACCCTTCCCGCCGCGGCGATGGATCGATCGATCGCTTGCGCTTCCTAGAGCGCCATCCCGGAATGCGGCAGGATCGTCGCCGGGGCGCCTTCCATCTCCACAGCGAAGCCACAAAACCCTCCATCTCCATCCCGAAATATAAACCTCTTCTTGGAGCTTTCGATTCTTTTGCCCCTTCCCCAAGCATGGCATCATGGGCGGCATACCCACGGCAGCCTCGGCAAAAGCAATGCCAGCCTCGGATGTCCAGCCTCGGCAGGCTCGAGAGGCTCGGCAGCCATGCCATGCCATGCCACGTCGTCCGCCACGTAATCACTTTGCATTCCCGCCACGTCTGGGTGTTTCTTTCCTTTAGTTTTTATACATGGAACTTTTTCGTTCGGGGTAGGGCCGGGCCTTCTTTGTTTCCTCTTTTTGGTTATCTAACCAATTTTTTCCGCTTGCGCAATGTCGGCGACGGCGACTGTGGAGAGTAGAATCTTCATAACGAGAAGTCGAAGTCGATGGAAGCAATTCAGACTTTCTCTCATCAGTCCCAGTCCCAGCTTTGAGTAGTGGAGAATCAAAGCGTTTTTATGGTGTAGCAAAGATGGCTAGATCATCTCGATCCAAAACAGTTGAAAATCAAAGCGATTGGGATTGATTCACACGGGTCAAAACGATGCACTTGACCACTGCTCAATCGGACCCAGCATTGTACGCCAACCTGGTCAAGTCGTGCCGGAGTCTCCAGCAAGCCCAAAAGATCCACGCGACGATCTCCGCCAGCGAGCACCGCCACAACATTTTCCTCGCCAACCTTGTCATCGAAATGTATGGGAAGCACGGAAGTGTTGAGAAAGCCCGCGAGGTTTTTGATAGCCTTCCGGAGCCGAATCTTTTTTCGTGGAACATCATCGTCACTGCATATGCCAGTAACGGGGATTTGTACACCGCAAGATTGATGTTCGAAAACATGCCGTGTCGGGACGTGGTTTCGTGGACTGCAATCCTCAAAGCCTATTCTGATGTTCCATTTCTAAATGAATCGAATGAAATATTTGACAGCATGCCACACAAGAACATAATCTCGTGGAACATTATCATTGTAGCAAATGCCGCTAATGAGCATTTGGAAAAGGCATGGAGCATGTTTGATACAATGCCCGGGTGGTCTATTGTGACGTGGAACACAATGCTCCAGCACAGCAAACACTACGATGACGCGCGGTCGGTGTTCGATGACATGGCCTGCCACGACATCCTGTCATGGAACGGCCTCTTGGGTGCCCTTGTCCAAGACGGGCGTTTCACCGAAGCTTTGAAACTTTTCCAGGAGATGCCGGAGCGCGATGTTGCCTCGTACAACTTTGCAATCGCAGCAGTGTCGCAGGGCGAGGATCTGAGCGAAGCAAGGACGATCTTCGAGAGAATGCCCGAGAGAGACCTGTTTTCGTGGACGACGCTCTTGAATGCGCTTGCAGCAACTGGAAGACTCACACAAGCTCGGGCGTTGTTTAACCAGATGCCAGCGGTGGACATTGTTGCTTGGTCCTCTATGACGGAGGCATATGCCCGAGCTGGGCATACTCTTAAAGCGATGGCGATGTTCACAGAAATGCCCGAGCGCGATATTATATCCTGCACGGCCATTTTCAACGCGTTCTCCGAGAGTGGAAACATTTCAGAGGCGGAAGATATCTTCGCAAAAATGCCTCAGCAAGATGACATCTCGTGGACTGCGATGCTCGCTGCATATGCCCGAAACGGGTATTTGGACAAGGCACAAGCCATGCTGGAGTCCACTTCAGCACCCAACGTTGTGACGTGGACTGCAATGCTGGCTGGATATGCCCAGCACGGGCATCTTGAGGAAGCCCAGTTGTTGTTCAACACAATGCCGTGCTGGAACACAGTGACATGGAGCGTGATGATCGCGGCATATGCCCAAAACGGGCATGGAAGGGAGGGGATATCCCTCTTCCGGAGGATGAACCAAGAGGGGTATCACCCAGATGAGAGCGCTTTTGCTAGTGCGTTTTTCGCGTGCAGCTGCATTGGCTCGCTCTCTGATGCCCGATCAATCCACGCAAATTTCAGAGAATTCAACTCCGTGTCAAATGAGCTCATGTTGGGGGGTCTTATCATCAGCATGTACGGAGGATGCGGAGACCTCACCACAGCTGCTAACGAGTTCCACGCGCTCTTACTTCCGTACCATGGCAGCCCCGTGCTGTGGAGCACCATGGTAGCCGCATATTCCCAGAATGGTCTTGTGGAGCGGGCCATGGTATTGTTCTCGACAATGTTTCTAGAGGGGGTCGAACCCAGCGACCTGACGTTTGTGACCATCCTGGCGGCGTGCAGCCACGGTGGGCGGTTGCATGAGGGGCTGTACTATTTCCGGGTAATGTGTACGGACTGTGGGATAGCTCCCGGCGTCCAACACTACCACTGTTTGATTGATCTCTTGGGGCGGAGTGGGAGGCTGGAGGAGGCGAGAGAACTGGTCACCTCTTGTGCGGATCCGGGAGCATGGACAATTCTCCTGGGAAAGTGTAAATTACACGGTAATGCACGGTTGGGAAAGGTGGCGACAACTAATTTGGATCATCATGTACCTGGACCTTACCTCTTACTGGCAAACGCATACACCCTTAGATAAAGGTATTCTTTTCACATACAATATATGAGTCTGTTGCTGGTGAGGAGCGTGCATTTCTCGAACTCTGCTGGTCATGGACAAGATTATCAAGATCTATGGGATGAGCAAGCGTATTGCAAGCAATTTATAGTGGAATTTCCTTCAATCCAGTTGATCATGGACAGGTTCACAAAGCTGTAGTGCTTGTTTCTTCGATTTTCATAGTGGAGAAGGTCAAGTAGTTCCCACTTCCACAGGGTTACTTGCGGCACAAGGAAAGCAACTTTTGACAAACTTTTCTATCCAAACTTTTGCAGACTAATTGGAGTACAGTTGCAATCTGCTCTACGCCCAGACCATTTCAGCAATACAAACACGGTTCTGAGCTTCCTTACCTCAATTGATCATGACCACTATGTGGGCAAACTAACCTTCACTGGCCGCATCTGAATTGAAGAGATGTTCTACTGCTGAGGGATGCATAGGCTTTACCAGTAAAGACTCTGCCTGCACGATCCTAGGCACGAAGTAATCCATACAACAAATGGCCGCCAAGTAAGGGCACATGGTAATGTCATAACATACGTTTAAAAGCAGATAGACTATATGCCTAAGTGTGTAATGCACGAGGGAAACTTGGCATGGCAAATTCCAAGTTTGAGCACCCTATTATCCGCTTAAGGCTAATTATGGGATTAGTAGGTCAATTAGAGGATTAGGTCATTGAGTGTCTATGAAAATGGCGTATCTAACTAAACTTTAAGTGATTAGGAAAAGAAAAAGCAAAAGGGAGTTTTATTCAACCCGTTGCCTTAGGATTATGTAAAAGGTTTTTTTGGCAAGATATGTGACTCTCAGTAAGACATGCAAGCTAACATGGAAAAGCTTGATCAATCTCAAGGTGGTAGTGGTAATCTAATCACAAGGTATTGCAAATGAAACCTTGGTAAAATCTCAAGGCTGATCCAGGTCCAAGGTTTTGATGATACTTAACCACTGATCCTTCTGGAGGTTGCCTTGAAAATCAAGGCATCACAGTGGTGGATGCAAATAACTAATGAATAAGCACTAGGAAAGGACCATTTACCTCCTTAGAAAAGTTTGTAGTAGCTTTTAAGTAGGAGTTTGCACCTATGATGCTTGGCATGCTTGGTGTTAGCTACAGCAGAGGAAGGGCAATTTGATCAATGAGTATATAATTGGTTTGGAATGTTGTTTAGCTGAATTTGAAGTGACTATATGGAGGAGGTGGAGAAGGATTACTTCCTAGATAGTTTGCACAACCATAACATGTAGAAATCTATGAAGTCTACCCAAACTTCCAAGTTGCTAGAGGAATTTTTTATGGATGTTGGAGCACTTGAGGATGAGGAGTCACAAGAGTAGTAGCCTGATAACACCAAGAAGAATTAGTGTAATAGGAGTTTCTAAAGATGATATTAGATATAGTGATAGTGGCAATAGCAAGAATTCTTGCTCAAATTTCCATATGGTAGGATTTTTCTACAGTAGCAATGGTGGAGGGCATGGCAAGAATGGTAGAAGCCACGCCGTCTTTCTGGACTAAAACGGACTGTTTTATAGCAAGCGGGGAATTGTATACTCCTTTCGTGCCTACCAAGTCCCTGAATGCTCAAGGACCTTTGGAATAATGGCCAAATTTCAAAGACGTTTTGCATCACTAATCCTATTGGAGATCAATGCTTCAAGTGTGGATTTTTGGATCACTAGAAGAAAATATTGCTGAAGAACAACAATGGAGTTGGTGCTTCTAACAACAAGAAGATCTAGGAAGCATAGTGTACAAATGAGGCTTTTGAGTTGAAAGAACATTTGTTAGTGATTGTAGAATTATTGATCAAATCTAGTGTGATGATATTGGTGGCTTGATGACTAAATCTTGACTAATTCAAGTGGAGGGATAGCTAAGCAGGATCCTAATTGATTGGCAGCTCAATTTATTTTTTCAAAATTAGTAAAGGAATGTGAGGGTTTAGGGAAGTTGCCTCTGTATAAGATTATTGGCACAGAAACTCAGAAGTGGGACATCATGCAACTTCCCATAAAGGTGGGAAAAATGGAGTTTGTTGAGGATTTTTTTCTGGCTGCCATGAAGAATGTGGATTTGATCTTGGAATACTTATGTGATCAAGAAAGAAGGGCAAAATTGCCCCATTGATCCCGAGATCAAGTGAAGTCTTCACCAAGTCAAATTGGATTAGTGGAGTGATCTTCCAATCATTACACAGATGATGTCAACCATGTCTTTGGAGCTATTCATAATAAAGGGAATGATTTTTATGTTCATTAGAGAGTTAGATACTTTAAGTTCTCTCACAGAAGAAGAGGTTGTTTGGGTGAAGCTTGAAGAATTTACTTATGTGTTTCCAGTAGAGTTAACTGCTAAAGCCTAGTATAAAGCCAATTTATAGACAACCATTTTGTCTTAGTCATGCAGATGAGATAAAGGTCAAGGGCCAATGACTGGGTTGCTTGAGTATGGGTTTATCCAACCCAACAAATCTTCTTTTGGTGCTTCTATCTCATTTGCCAAGAAAAAGGATGACTCAATGCAGGGATAGACAATAAAGCTTTATAGAAGAAGACAATGAAGGACAAAGTGCATATATCATCAGTAGGTAATATTTTGCATAGACTTGGAGATGCAAAGGTCTTTTCCAAAATAGATTTGCATTGTAGTTATCTGTAAATTGCAAAAAATATAGGAAAAAATTGATAAAAAAAATACTATATACTAAAAAAAAACTTAATTGCATATTAGTTTTTCACTATACCTTAGTTTTTATATCATTTGTCAAAGTACTAGTTTTAAAGAGGATTTCAATTTATCATTTTATTAATAATTTAATAATGTAAATTAAATCTTAAAAAAAAATTCTATTAGAATATTCTTTAAAATTTTAATTTTTATAATTAATTACATTTTTGGGTTTAGATTTTAGCTGTATACTTTTCTTCACCATTTCAAGAAACCATTTCCCTATGGCGTGTGATGATGGGAAACTATAACTATGAGTAGTATTTATTACAAATATTTTTAAATACTAGCAAAATCTTCACTTTTTAATATAACATTATTTTGTGATATATATATATATATACACACACACACACACTTCTTTCATATATACTCTTTAAAATGTTATATTTTAAATTTTCAAGTGAAAAAACTTTTCCATCCTTATTCATAATTAATGTCCATATAATGTAATTTCAAAGTTCCTTAAAGATTTTATCATTTTATTAAATTTTCAAATGGTGGTGAATATAAAGAGTAAATTATTTTATTTGTAATTTTTTATATCAATAAAATGTATTTAATATTTCTTATATCTCCATTTTTGGATTTTCATATTTTATCCTCTATTGAATTAAATAATTTTTATCTTTACTAACAATCTAATTTGCTTTGTTCCATATTGCTATGAAGCACATATCACCATGAATAAGTTTGAAGTTTTTGATGCATGGGTAAAATAGTCTAGTAGTAATAGGATGATCAACATTATAGCAAACAACAATGAAAGAAAAAAAGAGTCATGGATTCTCAAATGCTCCAAAACTTTCTAGAATGGGGAAGTGGAGTTTGCGTAACCGGTGAAATACAAGATGTTGGATATACCTAGAAAATTGACTCGAGATGTCAATATTAAAGTTCTAGAGTGCAATAGTTATGTTGGTAGAGGCTGAAACTACTCCAGAATGAGTAGTAAGATCGAGATGTAAACTTCTAAATTTAGACTTCTCGGGAAGTTATCCACCTAAGGACTCTTAACCTCAAATATCCTAAAACCCTTAATCAATTAGAAAAGGGGGTATAATGTTATTCATGGGCTTTTTCTTTTTATATTTAAACCCTATGGATCATCTCTTGAGTTATTCTTTTTGGTTATTTACATGAAATAAAGAAAGTGTTTCTAATAGATTTAATGAGAACTAAATAAACAAAGGTAGAGAACTACCACTGATGATCTAATAAGACTTTAAGCTGGAAAAACTATACTCCTTATAAGATGGGTAAAGTATGATGAGGCCTAGATGTCAAACCACTGACAAATATTAACTTAGTGCTATGGATGAAAATAGTAATCCATGATAAGGTTACTTTATAAAATGGTTTATCATTTGATAAAGACATTGAACTTTGTCTATGGGTGGTGGAGTTGTGAGACACAAATCCCTAATCCCCAAAGTGGAGCCAAAAGGGTGTCATATGGCAATGGTCAAAATGAAAGCCCAATAATTGTAATATAATAGGATCAAAAACTCTGATTCAAAAAAGTGAGAGCGGGAGTGGAACTCCAAATGAAGTACTTGAGGGATAAACACAAAGCGATTGATGAATGAGTCTCTAGAAAAAGACATAAAAAAGACTAACACATGGCAAATATCGTGACATATAGAAGTGTTAGGATTGAGTCTGAGAAGGAATCTAAGAAAGAGTCCGAGATGGAGTCTGAAAAGGAGTCTAAGAAGAAGTCTAAAAAGGAGTCCGAGAATAAGTTTGAGATAGAGTTCAAGAAGAAGTTTGAAATGGAGTTTGAGATAAAGTGTGAGATGGATGTAATTAACTAAAGGGAATGATTCGAAAGATGATTTATAAAGGTTTAAATATAAAGGGAAAAGGCATACCCCCTTTTCCAATCAGTTAAAGGTTTTGGGATACTTGGAATTAAGTGTCCTTAGATTTGAATATTATTATGTTGGGTGACCTTCTGGAAAGTCTAAATCCAGAAGCTTACATTTGGTATCAGAAGGGTCTTAGATTCGACTCTGTTGGTTGGTTAGGGGAATCACACCATATATTAATTGACATCTGGTCTTGGATCTAACTCTGTTGGTTACTTAGGGGAATCACACCACATGTTAATTGACATCTGGCAAATCCAACTTGCTCCACTAGCTGTGAGCTTCCGTTCATGAAAGTGTCAACTTGCAAGAAAGCATAGTAGATTATAAATAACTAAAAAAAACAATTCGAAAAATGATTTATAAGGGTT